TGTTACAGATGTATCTGTTACAGATGTATCTGTTACAGATGTATCTGTTACAGATGTATCTGTTACAGATGTATCTGTATCAGTTACCGGTATCGGTTACAAGTTTATATACTGTATTTGTTACACGTGTATCTGTATCGGTTACCGTTGTATAACCTGTAACGGTTACAGATGTATAACCTGTATTTGGTACACGTGTATCTGTGTATGTTGCAAGTGCATAATCAGTATTTGTTACACGTGTATCTGTATATGCTACGGGTTTATAATCTGTATCGGTTACAGGTGTATAACCAGTATTTGTTACACATGTATCTGTATATGTTACAGGTATATAATCTGTTACATGTGTATACTTTGTATCCGTTACAGGTATATAATTTGTATATGTTACATGTGTATCTGTTTTCGATTTAGCTATTTGTAAATACTGGTGTAAAAGTGCTTGATTAAGAAGCCTCTGTTGTGTGCTGCATAGGTTGGTCCCCTACGAATCTGAGTGCAAAACTGTGGATTCTATCGTTTCTCTTGAGAAATCATAAAATATATTGGATAAAACTAATCTGCTACGACGTAATATATATATCTAAGGCTTGGTTATTACCTCCGCGCAACGGAGTTGCAGGGAGGTAATATGATCGCTCTCGTGTGTGTGTTTGTGTGTGTGTTTGTGTGTGTGTGTGTAGCCAGCAGCGAGCCAGCTGTTATACACTGTATACATGTTACACGCATTGGCGCGATCAATTCAGCACCAGCTCGCCTTAGGGCGTCCAGTCAGCAGCAGCCAGCAGCGAGCCAGCTGTTATACACATGTATACATGTTACACGCTCGCAGAGGAATGCACTCTCTTTGAGTGCCCTTTGTCTAGTTATATACTGTTACTGTAGTCTCTGTCTCTGGCACACGTACAGTATGCACGCTCGCACGCGCGCGCACACACACTGTCGCTTTCTCTCCCTCTCTCTCCCTCTCTCTCGCCTTCTCCCCCTCCCTCTCCGTCTCTTCCTCTCTCTCTCGCGCGCTCTCTCTCTCTCTCTCTCTCTCTCTCTCTCGTCTCTGCTCTCCTATATATATATATAGTATATATATATATATTCGTATAATATATAGTAATCTGCGGTGCGTGGTGCGTGGCGTGTCGTGCGTCGTGCGTGCGTGCGTGCGTGTTTGTATGTAATCTGAAGCTGTAGACAACTAACAGTGGCGTTCAATAGTTAGCAGAATCTTAAGGATACTCTCCACCTTTTGCACGGGTATTGCTCTAGTGAAGATTAAACGTTATTGGCGAATGAACAAATCATCAGCTTGTTTTATTTATAGAGGAGATAATATCTCTATGCTCAAAGCCAAAAATTTCATGAAATTCCAGCACCTAATGTCTACCACACAATTTTGAATTTTTATGTAAAAATGGGTATTTTGGATATTTCTCAACTACCAGAAAGAGTGAGGATACACATATTTTGCCACATGTTAAGCACAACATGGACCAAAATAGTGCGTTCAGGATTTTTTTTAAATTTTCATATTTACCGGAAACTGAAAAAAACTGCTTAAAAGATTAGCTTGCTGTTGTTAGAATTAGGAGAAATTTTAGCGAATAAAGATGGCATAACTAATAAAAACGGCATTTAATAACAATCCCATGAAGCACTTCTTCTACCACAATAGTGCGTTACCATAAAATCGAAGTGTAAATAAATTAATCCGAGTTGTTGATCGCAGAGAGAAATATCATTTGATATACATCGCTACTAGCTCAGAAATGCCGAACAGATGAAATCCAGCGGTTTTCTAGTTGTTCACAATGACGTGCCCGCCTGGTGCAAAATGGGTAAACGGTATGCTGATATATCTTATTGATTAGTATTTACTGCGACATAAATCCAGACTAACGACCACACTAATTGGTAAATGTTCCATGCACTGATTCTTGAGAAATTCCTGAGAAAGTTAGAGGGTTACCCATCGGCAGGAAACGGCGCGGAACTCCGGCTTCATACCATGACGTCACAAAGCTTAAGTATGTCAACAATAACACTACAGTAAGTGTGTTGCGGGGCGTGGCATCCTTGTTGGATTCACTAGCAGATGTAGCAGTGAATTACATGAATAACATGTAATGCAGGAGTAAGATAATATAGCTATAATATCCTATAATTATGCTTACTCGCTGATGTAATGGCCCGCGTACTATGGACTGCCGCAGGGCTATTAGAACATTGTCGCTGGAAATACCCCACTGCCATCCTGCCCCCC